TTTACAAGAGCTACGGCTGCGGCACCCGGGCGGCGGCGTGCGGTAGCAGCAGGGCCCACTTTAAATACCACCTTCTGAGCGGTGTAGGGCATCTACAGCTTGCTGCTGGCTGGCAGGACCTTCTCAGCACGCGTTTATGTCACCTCCCTCCTGAACCCCCGCCGCACAGTGTTTTTCTTAGCGGTAGTGCGGTGTCCTTTTGACATGTGGTAAGAGCCAGACGCGATGCAAGCGATTTAGGAAGCTTTGGCATTCATGTGTTTGGAGCATAATCAACATGCACCAATCTTCATAAGTATTTTTTGAAGGGTTATTCTGATCCAAAGAAGGTTTCTCTTCCAGTGGAGAATTGTGAAACTTTGGCAGTGTGCCTGGAACAGAGCATTTTATTCCCCCCACAGCTGGAAGTTACGGCCTCTACAAGCTTTCAAGTTCTCTGGTGAGATTCAGGCTTCTCTGCACAGCTAATCACCTAAGTGAAGTTGTGCAGAAAGGGGCAGAAGCATGCTGCTGATTGTTTAGAGACACAAATAAACATAAACGTTGAGCAAACAAGGCAGGAAACTCCAGGTTTCTCATGAGTGTTGGTTATAGGACTCAAGGACTAACTGATGCACAAGCGAAAAATGTAGTTTAATGCTGTGATGTGATGGGGATGTATTTCTAAAGAATGCAGGAAACGATGAAATAAATTGGCCTCCAAAATCTAAAAACCAAAACAACCAAACCCCCAATTTTTTTTCTAAACCTTGTGACAATTTTATGAATAGTTGAAAACACCAAAGAAAATACTGTGGTTCAGTAAAAGAAAATATATTGTCCTTTAAACATCTGAACTATAATCCTTTGTGATAATATTTTTCTTCCTAAAGCAGTGATCTAATTGGCATCAGTAGTTTGGTGTTTATGGGGATGTCCTCAGTTGTTGGAGGGCAGACAGCGAAGTGAAATCTTGGCAATGTATTATGTTCACCTTTGGAAGGAACACTGTACTTGATGTATTTGTTTGATGTTTTTCAATAGCTTGCTTATCTCCTGTAGCTATCTGGGTACTTACACTGCTGAAGCAGTCTGCCATAGAAGTGTGATTTCATCACTGAAATATTATTTGTGCCACTTCATTTGTACAAGGCCAGATAATTACTTACAGAAACTGTCAGGCAATTCATACTGTAAAGGTGACCTTTTTCTCTTGTCCATATAAAGGTTATGGATGTGAGAACTGCAATTACTTTTCAGATGATATGGAGAAGCTTTATTCTGTGGAATATATTCAGAGAACAGTAGCTCTCTAGCTGAAATGATGATTTCTCTATTACCAGATTACTAATGTTTATGCTAATATGCTACTAACACTGCTCTGGAGAGCCACCTTTCCTAGCATGCAAGTGACTAGCTGACAAAGAATACATAATTTACTATGCCACCGATCTGTTGGAGATTTCTCAAACTACCTAAAAGTAATACATATTTATGACAATTTTGTGATTTTCACGAGATGCCAAATTAGGGTTCATCCAGCATGCATGTTTGCCTCATTAATTTCTCTTAAGATTTCTCATGTAAGGAAAAGTTAAAAGTTTCAGACCATTACATTTCTTTTTTTATGGCATTCTTTTCTGTATTAAGGAAGACACTTTGCTGTACAGTTCCCTCTGTATATATTGTCAATTAGTCTCAGTTTCTCAGTTCTCCACTATTGCAGCACAACTTCTGCCATTGCGATAAATTAGATGTATTTACATCATTTACGTATTTTTACAATTACAGTTTAATTTTTATTAAAAGAATAAATGAAAAGTTTTTAATTCTTGTGTTTTTAGATGCTTATGGTGTTTAATGTCATCTTTATTTAAATTGTATTTCTCTTCTCTTTCCTTTTCAGTCTTGCTCCATGGGTACCAGTTGTTGGTCTGGAAATTCATGCACAGATCAGTTCCAACTCAAAACTCTTCTCTGGTTCCCAAGTCCAGTTTGCAGCACCTCCTAACTCTGTGGTATCTTTCTTTGATGCTTCTTTACCAGGAACACTGCCAGTAAGTTATGCTTCAACTTAATTTACAGTAGGATTGATGTCATACAGCTTCTAAGTGTGTTTCCAATATTTTGTTCTTCCGAAGATTTGACTGTAGAACTACTTTTGCATATTTTTCTATTTTCTGGTTGTTTCATGCCATAAGATCCTAGTACTGTTTCTTTTTGATTTACTCATTCCCTAGTTATCACTAGAGATACTTGATATACTCTGCAAAGCTAAAAAAAATAAGGAGTGTCTCTTCAAAATATTGAATGAATTGTGGTATTTCTTTGAGGTCAGAGAGATTTGGTTGGTATGCCATACAGGAAATTCCTTAAATATGAGGGATACTTAAAATCCTATGAGAGAAGAACATCTTAGATTTCGAAGTGGCCATTTGATGTTACTTTGCCATATGTTTGTTTATGTAGCTGTCATTTGCCATTTGGAATGTCTTGCTGTGGAGGTACTTTGCTTCCTAAGGAATAAGTCTGTGATTTAGGGAAGTGTCAACTATTTGTATTTCCAGAGCAAACCAATTATTAACAGAACAAAATCTTATCTCTGTGAGACATTGTGGACTAATAACGCGGAATAGCTGGCTGACACTTAGCAATGACATTCCTTAGTGACAACATGGTAAATTTTTGAAGTCACAGCTGAATTATAACTGTGATGACTGTGATAGTGCTGCTGTAGAATTTTCTGGGAATCTAACAAGTTTAATATAAAAATAATAGTTTAAAAAGTATAAGCTTTTACTATACAGTGAAAATAAGCATTGAATAGACTTAGCATTGCCTCATTCAACAAGCATGCAGAGACTGTAGTTGGGTCAAATTATTTAATGCAGAAATGTTTCACTGAATATATTTATTAGAGTGGAAGCTTGAATTCCAGTTGCAGGTATATATTAACTCTTTAATATATTGGAAGTTTTTCATCACCATAATATAGCTTTAAATAATATTCTGGAATTGAGAATTAACTTATGTTTGGATTTCTAAAGTCTTGATATATGCCATGTGATCCTTACATTGAGAAATTAGTTGAGGTATTAATTTTTTGTTTGCAAAGTATTGAAATCTAAGTGAAGTTTGGACGCTGGTAAAATTTGGACTTCACTCTGGTTTCAATGGCACTTTAGGGCTGAGTTTCAGATCTAACTATATGAAAATGTTGAAATTTTTCCAGAGAGAATGGGAATCTTATGCAGTTGTTTGGTTTTAGAAGAATCTAGTTAGACTTAAACATGGAAAATTAGATCCCTTCATTGGGGGACAGGACTAAGTTAGGGAGTCAATAGTCACAACATTTAAAAGGGTTTAAGATTTTCGTTTTAGATCTTCTACTTAATGTTCTGCTAATGCACAGAAATCCTTGTAAACTGCTTGTCTTCAGTCAAGTAGAAAAACTGTTCTTCATGGTACAAAAATGAGTATTTATAAAGAGTTTCATTTTTATGTACATTACTATCTGGGTTTTTTTTTATTTGGCCTTTTCCTCCATTAAACTGTTTTACAAATGAGGCTTGGTGTGACCTTTGTAAGAAAAGCCCAGCATATGTGGGCTTTGGCAGAGTATATAACTGTACCTGAGAAGCAGTGATGCTATGTTAGCTTCTCCCAGCTACTTTATTATATACAAAGAGAAGAAAGATTTTTCTCACTGTAGCACTGGTGCAAATAGAGTTGAAAGGGAATGTTACAAAATACGTGTTCTAGCATGTTGGAATGTGATGCAAAATCCATTCAGTAATCATAATTTTATTTTCCCCTTGTTCTTACTGCACAGGATTGAATGTTAGAGACCAGTGTTTGTTCTGGAATCAATCAGTTTGGCTTGTTTTCTTGAAATAACTGTGTGTACGTGGCAATAGTATCTGAAATACAATTGGATTTTGGTGGATTTTGAAAGATGGAAGATAGTTTTTAAAAATTTCCAAGTATTTATCAAAAAAACCCAAACCAAACCAGAAACATTTTAACAAATGTTTATCGCCTAATAAGTCTCTTTAGAAGGTGAATATTTGGCATTTTCCTTTGACTCTTCTGTTGAGAAATGAAAAAAAATAGGAGAAAAGTTTTAATACAGTAGTGCTGCCTGTAGCAGAGGATAACTGCTGTTATGAACCCGGAACTATAGGGACAGTTTTCACTGTTACAGGGACTTAAATTTACTGCAAGGACATGAGATGGTTGTGATAGACAACCATCTAGTATTTGCTGACTCACAACAGGACCAGTAAGAATGGTGCTAAAGGGAGCTATTCTGGTTGCTATACATTTCTGGGTCATTAGTGGGTGTGGGTGTGAGCCTTTGCACAGGAGAGAGAAAACTAGGTAAATGTATTTAGCTCTCCTCCATCTTTTCTTTTCGTATTTTCTTCCAGTGCTGTAACAGAGCTTATTTTATGCTTCTGCTGCAAGTAGGCCTTCGAAGGACCATCACATGGTCAGTGTCATGGCCATTTCGCTATGCTTCTCTTGTAATGTGCCTCTGAGAGACAGCTACAGGCAAAAATAGCTATGCAGGTGTACTGCTGTTTGGCATGACACAGAAAAAAAATTGTGTGGCAAAGCTTTGATTATGAAAGTAGATTTTAAAGTAGTGAGACTGGACAGTGCATCCTGTGCTGCTCTGCACACTTTTTTGTGGCCTGTGGTGATGGAGCCTCTCACCACTAGACCAGATAGCATCTTACTGAGATTGCTTTGGGGCTACATACATTACAGTTCATGTCATGAAGTATGCAAAGGCCTGGGGGGTTTTTTACCTGGTAAATGGACTTGGCAATGATCTTAGCTTGCTGTCTTCACCAGACCTGTTATAAGGAAGTTTTAGCCACACATGGTGGCACATAGTGCATCATGCATGCAAATTTATCTAAAACTCTTCTGAGGATCCATAAAGGTGGTTGCATTCCCAGTCTGATTTATCCTCTTTGAAAAATCGGTGAATCTTTATAAAGGCTTATAAAGATAAGACTGGGCTCACAGAAGAAGAATCCATTATTATCTATTCTCATGATTGAAATTAATTATAGCTCAGCCACAGGAATAAGATGGTAGATTTATTAGCTAAAGTCTGAAACCTTCTTGTCTGTGCTTAGTCTTTGCTGCTAATCACACCAAACGATGCACATTTTACATTTGTCTTCTGAATGACTAAAGTGAAAGCCTGATCCTATTGTAGGCAATTCTTTGTAGGCAAGTGTACAAAGAAATAATCTAGGATTTACATAACCAAGGTTTACATTAATAAGATTTGAATGAATGTTAGCCCTACAGTCTTTAAGTATTTTGAAAATTCTGATACCTTCTCATGCGTTTGAATTTCATTCTCTTCACAGTGTGAACAGCATCTGGGTTTTGATTTTTTTTTAAGATAGAATTTCTGGAACACTTGGTAATGATCAGGCTGTTTCTAATGAGGAAAAGGTAAATACCTTCTGACCTCAGAAGAAACAGAGTAAGATCTCTGTAGAATGCTGCTGTAGAATGAGATGCATGATTTTATATGAATATATAATTTTTTCCTGTTCCACTGCACATCCTTGAGGGCTTGTCAGCTAACTCATTGCTGCTGTCCTCTACTGAGATTTTCATATCTTCTTGTTTTAAACTTCTTTGGTTTTCTCTCTGTAAATAGTGTAGAAGGAAGCATTTTGGTCCTACTCTATCTTCTCTCACCTGTATAATGGCAATTAAACAACCAGATATGCCTTTTCATGGAAGAAAGCAGGGCTAGAACAGCTATTAGCTGTTGTTCCTTCTGGTATTGCACTGCTGGCAACTTAAACTCCAAAGTCTGGCTTCTCCAAAGCTGATGAATGTCACTGCAACACTGCTCAGCAGCAGAGAGCACATGTATTGTGCTGTTGTCTTCACCACCCTGCAGTGCTGCGCTCTTTGAGATGGCTGCCCAGGAACATGACAAGGGTAATATTATACAGCTTTGGAGTGTAGAGGGTGCTTTGGAAGTTCCTTTTTTTACATGAACACATCCATCCTTGGCAGTGGCAGATTTCTGGTCTTTTTCCAGATGTCTTATGTGATTATCAGATTTCATGATGAATTTTAGGTGTTACTAATATACAGAATTTACCTGATGCCTTTGCTTTTGAAGGCACTGAGAGGTTTGTGTGAGATTTTGCTGGATCTGTCTGTCAGCTATACATACTGGAACCGAAACAGCATTTGAGACCAGAATTTATACTTTACAGCTTGAAACTAGATTTTTTTTGATATCCCGTGTCTGTTAAATCTGGTGATTGCAGCAGCTGCTTTACTAACTTGTGATTTCAGTTTTGTTTTGACATTTCTGCTGGCATGCGTATGAATTTACTCTGTTCTTGTACTATTTCACTTTGTAAAAAACCTGCTTTTTAGCATGACTTTTGATAACTACATTTTTAGTTGCATACACGTTTCTTAGGGAACTGGACAGTCTTCTTATCTTCATATGCATGTTGGTTTGGCTTCTGTTATATACTTTTTCTTCTTTTCTTTGAGACCACATGATGCCTTGGTTGTTGTATCCATGAGCTCCCCTCTAAAAATAAATCACTGACAGTGCCCGAAGGAAAAAGTGAGTTCCTGCTTATTTTAAACCATTTACTTATGTCTGGGTTCACTTTAACTGGCTGTTACCTCTGTCAGTAAAACTGTAGTAATTGTACTTAGGGGGGAACAGGAGATGTTTTCTTAGAAATTGGTGGTACCTTTCTATTGCAGTCCTTTTCTTTCTTGATAATATTTTGGTTTGCAACATATATTGTATCATTAGTGGTTAACAGGTTTTGTTGCTCACACAGTACCAGCTTGCTGGACTTGCAGTCCCAATAAGCCTCTAAAAAGCAAATCACACATAAGTTAGAGAGAAAAAAACTACAGGAGGAAAGTAGGCTTTCAAATCATTGCTCTCTGAGAGTGCCTTTGCAGTTCACAGACCCTTGCATATCTGAGTGCTTGATGGGTTAAAGCCTACCTACATAATTTCAAGCTATTGATCAGGTCA